AAACACAGGGTAACAAGGCACAGGTGGGAACAATCAGGGGCGGGGCTGACACTGATGGGCACAGGAGACACACGAGGAGTGACAGGTGAAAACAATCAGGGAATTAGACACACCAGGGAACTAACGACAGACATGAAAAACACAGGGAAAAGGACCAGACAATAACCCAGGATGAAAAACATGACAGCAAACACCCAAACCTAGACAGACAACACTAAAACCCTTGACATAAACCTCGGGGTGTGACAGAGGGAACACAAGGATTTGAGAATCTGCAGAAAATGTACATGCACAATAACCTATAAAACACATTACAGGAAAGGGAGAACCCAAAAAAGAATAATAGCGCCCCATTTAAAATAGTAGTCCAGTGATCGGAGAGTGGTTTGATGCGTAGCTGCAGTCGAGGGCTTCCAGCCGGGCCAAGAGAGAACCAGGAGGAGAGGCCTGCCAAAAGAGAAGAGAGCAGGAACAAAGTGCCGCTACTGTTTTAAAATAAGGATTTTCATATCAATGTGTGACATGGCAAAGTCACAGGTCTGAGTTACAGTGACTGATGTCTTTTGTAGATGGTTGTCCTAAGACGGAAGACTTCTGGGTTAGGGCATAGAAAGTGGTTTTGGATTTTCCACAATAAAAGAGTGACATTTGAAATAAGAATCTATGGCTTAAAAAGAATAGAATCCCAACAACTGCCCGAAAATAATGCATGAAATGAACCTTTCCTATTAGGAATATATTTGTTTTTATCATATCTCCCATCTCTCTTTGTCTTCTCTCCAGGGCCCTTGCACATGCCAAATTCACTAAGTAAGTAACTCAGATATAATAAACCATTCTGCACAGATTTAGTAAGTTTCCACTTTGAAACATGTGTCTTAATGTTTCTGTCTGAACAGGGAACTGAAATATGTAATTCAGAGGTTTGCTGAGGACCCGAGGCAGGAGGTGAGTTTGTGTTTCTGCAGGTTGACCTCTGTAGCTTACAGAAAAGTGTTTTGATGAGATTCACCAACAGAAAGTCTTCTGTGTTTCTCTCCCTTTTCCGTTAGGTCCATTCCTGCCTCCTCAGTGTGCGTTCAGGTAAAGATGGCTGGTTCCAGCTCTACAGTCCAGGAGGGGTGGCCTGCGATGACGATGGAGAGCTGTTTGCCAGTATGGTGGGTGTTGATACACAAAGTCAACCTTCTACTCCAATCTGACAGCTAGTTCTTTGTTTGCAGTAAGCGTGCATTTCACACCTAGGCCTTCAGTAGTTTCCTACCTGAATTAACCTGTTAAGTGGGGGCTGCAGGCTTTTTTTTCTTCACAAAACTGTGTCTCAGGGCTTCTTAACATTTAACAACCTATTAATGTGTCATATCCACTTAACAGGAAGAAACTCAGCTAACTGACGATATGAACTATTTTTAGCTAAACAAAACACAAGGGTAATACCAAGCCTCGCAATTAGCCCTGAGCGAAAAAATGCTAACGCACTTAGCACAAAACTCACGGTAGAAATACTTTATTACTTATCGGATCTGCACAAACAAGATATCAGCAAGCTGAGATTCCAGAGATTCTAGGGGTATAAGTATCATCACTGAGTGATCAAAACTCGTGGCAGGGGAAGCAAACCCAGACATCACACAGCTTTACTGTGCCAAAACGGCAAAAATATCTTACCTTTTGCTGTTTCTGATCAAAAGTTGTGTTCAATGGCATGAAAACGCATTAAAGCGCTGATGAAGGTTAATCCAATGTGTCTGTGTCACTTTGAAATTATTACTGATAATCCATCATACATTTTTGTCAAAAACTGAGATTTCATATAGAGTGTGTGAGAGCTACAACCCAGCTTCCGGTTTTTATTGATTAGAATAGACTATTCAAAATAATGTAATACATGTTAATGAAAAAATTAATTAAAAGGTTAGTCAGGGAGTCTGATAGTGTTTAGGCCAGGGAAGGCCTTGCTGGCCATGACGGCCCACCACTGGATGTTGCTGAGTTTCCCCTTCTGCATGTCCATCAGGTTCATATTTTGATGGGCTCCTGCTATAAGACCAAGAAATTCCTGCTCTCGCTGGCGGAGAACAAGCTGGGTCCCTGCATGCTGCTGGCCCTGCGTGGAAACCAGACCATGGTGGAGGTAAGTATTCAGACCATGCCCTAAAATGCTTATATGAAGTTTCTCTTTCATCAATGGAAGACCATGTTTGTTTATATTAATTGTTTTATTAATAAACATTGTCTTTTTTTCTTGTAGTATAGTATGGTTTTTAGTATTTGTATACATGTTTGTATACTTACGTAATTTATTTGAGTTTTATGTGAAACATTTTGTTGTCCTGTGTTGTATGACTGTCCATCACAAATTACCTGGGCTTTACTCGATGTGTTTAACTTCTTATTTTGCCCGATCAACATTGCCAACTCGAAATACTAGTATAAGCATTTATAAGACTTGACACCGGTTGGCAGTTTCACTTTAAGATTGCAGTTACTGTGGACAAATCACTTCATTAAGAAATCATTGCAACTTTAGTTGGCTTTTGTAACAAAGCTGATTAAAGTGACTGCACTTAAGTATAATTGCACAGATGTACAAGTTTTAATGGGCTTAGACAAAACTGATCAACACACCCAAAAAGAAATGTTTACCTTTACAGTGTATGTGTGTTCATGTGTGTTCAGATCCTGTGTCTGATGCTGGAGTACAACATCATTGAGAACAAAGACACTCAGCTGCAGATCATCTCCACCCTGGAGAGCACCCAGGTGGGGCTGCGCATGTACGAGCAGCTCTGTGACCGACAGAGAGAGCTCAAAGAACTGGTGAGGGACACACACACACACACACACACACACACACACACACACACACACACACACACACACACACACACACACACACACACACACACTACTTTCTTAGAGGCCTGAAGTGAACGTGGGTGCTGTACTTGTAGATCAGGGGTGCCAAACTTAAGGCCTGTGGGCCAAATCTGACCCGCCACCTCATTTTATGTGGCCCGCAAGAGCTCGCAAAGAATATTACAAGTTTATCATACGTTTAATGCCGCTTTATACATGTACAGTGCCAATAAACCTCATGTCCCACAATGCATCTTGTTTCGTCACCTGCACACCAGTGGCATAGCTGTGGGTGGGCCCGGGTGGGCCTGGGCCACATGGACGTCTGGCCCACCCACAGCCAATCAGCACGTCATAGCGATTTTGATGTTCCTGACAAGCGGCAAACTCTGGGGCAGAGCCGGGAAGCCCAGAAGGAAGAGCCACAAACTACAGTTCATCTAGTGGCCGACAGGGGCTGGATGCAGAAAGGAGCAATTCCCATAGACCCCCCATGTTAAAATGCCCAACTTTACAGCAGAAATAAACATGTTTCTAGCCTGGATCCAATCAAACTTATTCTGGGTATAGTTAGATTCCACCTTCATGACAATGGAATTAGGAATGCTTTTTTTTACCGTGAGTATATTTGTAAGTAAAGTACGTTTTGCCGTGAGTGAATGAAAGTCTTATTTCTTCTTGAGGTCGGCAGTGAAGTGTGTACACATGTGCTGACTAGGAAAAGACTCTCAGTGTGTGCCCACTGTGCGACTGTCAAGGATAAACAACCTGTGGCCGCCGAGCCAGTCATGTGGTTGTCAGTTTTACACACATTCTGAGGCCGCTGTGCCTATGTTTTTGTTTTCACTGCTAGTTTATGCTTATATTTAATTAGTGCATTAAAAATTAAATAAAATCATTACTGAAGTTTCAGCTCAGACCCCACGCTTAATAAGTCTCCCCCTGGCCCACCTACATTTCTCCAGGCCCACCCACACAATAATTCCTGGCTAGGCCACTGCTGCGCACTGAAGCGTGTTAATATCAGCTGTTTATGAGAGTGGCAGTCTGAGTGAGGCCGTCAGAGCAGTCTGCTTTCTCCACAACACCAGCAGCACCAGTCCCAGAACAAAGACAGAATGACCCGCTGCGGAGACACACATTGATTTATGTTTTAAAAAACTTGTGTTACCCTCATATGAGGTTTTTGGTGGATTAAAAACAATTAAGTCTCTGATTGCAGAGTATGAACGTCTTCTCGATATGTGCAGACGATACATTTTAATGTAAAGTTTAAGAATGCAGGAGGAGAACTTCCCCAACCACGGGCTCCTCTCTGTTGCTATCAGCCTGCAATTATTTTCTGCTTTCAGGTAGTTCTTAATTAGGTTATTACTAAAACTAATAATAATCCAATGCAGAGGCAAGTATGTAATGTAACATTATTTCATATTATATATATTTATAGAGTCTTAACGTTTCAACCGGCCCAAATTACAGCCTAATAATGACAGCTTAACCTGATATTCTCTATATCGCCTCGTTCACACATTAAATCAACAATAGAAATTCAACTACAGATTATATAGGCATTTCGTTCAAATGCAATTTAAAATGCTTATAGGTTTTACATCTCTTTTGAAATGTAGACTACATTTATTACGGAGTTTATGTCCGACTCACTAAAAAAAACACATTGTCTTGAACAGATTACAAATTGCCTGAAAAGTTAAGCTCGCTCCATTGCGGAGATATTCCCGCGAGAGTGCGGAAAACTTAAATGTATTTATTTATTTCAAATGTGAAATGTTACCAATATACTCACGGACCAGTGGTCCGCGGACCACACTTTGAGAAACACTGCTTTAGATGAAAATAAGGACCCCCTCCCCAAGCCCCTCTGGGAGATATTTGGTTAAAAACAACACAATGATGCTCTAAAAGGAGTTTCAGGTGATAAGGGGGGGGGGGGGGTTACCTTGCTTGGTTGGTGATTGGCTAATGGTTACACAAGCCAAAACATCGTTATGACATCATAAAGTGGCCAAAATCTGATCAGCTCATTTTCAGACAGGCTTTTATAGAAATGGATCAGGACAAAAAGAGAGAGAATCTTTGTTCACATGCTTATGTATAAAATACATGAAAGTGGATTTTGCATAATAGGTGACCTTAAAGGCCCCAGAAGTGAAGAAGTATGAATGCACTGGATAAGATGAGAAACAAAGAGCAGTCACAAGGTTCATTTAGAAGAATTATGTGTCACGTATGAACAGTTATCATCGTACAGGAGGTTTGTCCAGAAGGCCACAACTTCTCCACATGTATCGTCCTTGAAGAAGACACTGAACTTTGACTGGTGTCTGCCAAATGAATGTTATGTTCTCGTTGAGACATGTAAAGAAGTGCTCCTTCTACAAATATGGGCTCGAATACTAGTTCCTTAAAAATACATTTTTAACATTAAGGCATGCAAACATGTCACAGTAGAAGCACAAGATACAGAGATGAACCTGAAAATGAGCATCATTATGTCCTTTTTAAGTCAAATTTTAAAGAGAATTACTCTTTTCTGTTTGTATCATATTAAGGTGTATATTTTGAGGTTTTGGACTGACAAAACATGTAATATCAAGACATTTCCTTGCACTTTGAGAAACAAGGAAGGGCACACTGTATTCTGGCCTTTTGTTGAACAAACGATTAATATGCAAAGCAGTCGGCAGATGAGTTATTCATTAAAACAATTATTAGGGGCCGTTTTTCTCTCGGATGAACGCTGTGAATACAAGAGCTTTTATCAACCCTCCACAGCTCGTCGACAAAGCAGACTCAGGGAGAATAAGGAGGAGGTCAAGAAGGAAAAATAATATGGCAGTAAAGCTTTGTAGCTGCGGGTAATGAGTCACACCTATAGTTATAATTACAACAAAGGTTTGGTTGTCTGAACCCTTCTACATTGTCAACGTCAGTGTCTGTGCTTGAATGCCTCTTATCGTTTTTACCTTTCACCATAGAAGAACTCAACACATGTTGTTTCAGCTCGCACTCATCCATAGCACAACCAAGTTGAAGAGACGTGAACCCAGAGCTGACTTAGAGTTTCTTCAGTCCTGGTTGGATATTCAACTGTTGTAACGATTATGGTACAATAAATCACACCTGTTGTTTTATGTTTTTTTTTTTTTATCCTCCACTGCCTTTCATTGACATTTTTATTGACTAACTTTTTTTAAATTATGATTCAAAAAATAAAAGTGTTCACAATTGTGCTATTTGTGGCAACACTATCCTACATAGAGTAAATGATTGATGCTACACTCTCTTCATCGTGTTAACAGATGTATGTCTTAGAAGCTTTTCAATGTAAGCTTCTTTCAACACAGGTTTACATCTGCTAATGACAGAGATCTCTCCATTTTGGAGTCAGTTTACAGTGGCTTACTTTAAATGTCATATCCCAAGGACCATCTTAAAACAACTTCAAAGAATGCACACGATGCAGGGCAAAGGGGAAATAGACTCTCTAATATTTAGATGATCATTACAAGAGGCAAAGACAATAATGACTATGCCACCAGAAACAGCCTGTAATATTCAGACAGGAAGAAGCCAACATGATATGCTGCCATCATCAAGTCACAGCTAGTCATGTTTTGTTGGACATAAAGTCAAGTTTGTGAACCTGTCACCTCTGCCGATCGCCTGCTTTTATCATCATTTGCCTACTCCTGAATGGTGGTAATAGTACCCCTATGGGTGCTTTGGATTACTTCAAGGGGTACTTGAGATTTAAAAATGAAATTTTAATTTCATAAATATTACTTAAAACTTACTAAAAAAATGATGTTATTACAGATGAAATTCAAAAAATAGTTTCTTTCTTCAAAATTAGCAACAAAACAGCTGAAAACACAGAAACTTGAAAAAGAAGCCAACGTTGGTCACTCAATTTTAAGTGAATTGCAATCAAAGAGGATCAGTTGGAAGCAGCTACTATGAGGTCTTAATGCTTTTGCACTATACCAAAACAATGTGTTCGAAAACTGAACACTGAAAGGCAAGTTTATCTGCAGCTAAATGCTGGAGGCCTCACACACTCAGTCACACACACTTAGTTCTGTCTGCAGAGCTGTAGAGCTATCCCAAGGCAGCAACCAATGAATGTGCACTTTATTCATACTTAAACACAAAGGAAAGATAACTGATATACTTAATGCATAGCACATAAACAAATCTTAATTGAAGCAGCTGTGTTCATAAATATGTACGCAATGTATTCATCCTTCACACCATCAAACAAAAGGGATATGTTATATAACTCAATTATTAAATAAGTGTGATTAAATTAGAGTAAATTATATAGTATGTGTAAGAGGACAAAACATGGCACTGTAATATTTTAATCATTATTTTGTTTAAGACCTGCATCCCTTTTCCTCTTAATGACATGGATCAGCTGCTCACACACACCATCTGCTGTCTGAAAATATTTCTGCAGGCTGCTGAGCTCAGACGCCATCTTTTTTTCTGTCTTTTGTCTCTTCAGCAAAGGAAAGGAGGCCCCACCCGGCTTACTCTGCCCTCAAAATCCACGGTGAGATTAAACTGATGCCTTCACTGCAGCACACAGAGACACGTTAGATAGAAATACTTGTGTTAACTATTTCAGTATAGAATGTGTTTTTCCTCACATGTAGGATGCAGACCTTGCCCGTCTGTTGAGTTCAGGTTCTTTTGGGAATTTGGAGAACCTGAGCCTGGCCTTCACCAACGTAACCAGTGCCTGTGCCGAGCAGCTCATCAAACTGCCTTCACTCAAACAGCTCAACCTCTGGTCCACACAGGTACAGCACAAACACATCTACAAAGTCACATTAGTAATAACTAATGATCCAATACATGTCTAATGTATGTCCCGTCTTTGTCTATCTTTTTGTTCTTTTAGTTTGGGGATTCAGGGTTAAGGTTGTTATCTGAGCATCTGGCCTGTCTTCAGGTTTTGAACCTGTGTGAGACTCCAGTCACTGATGCTGGTCTGCTCGCTCTCAGTTGTAAGAAAACACACACAAAATGAACACCTTAACTGAATTTTATGCATCACAAGATCATCATTGCTTAAACAGAATGAGCAGTCTGGCAGAGGACAAGGACAGCATGTGAACGGTGTCAGTCAGTGCTTTGTAAATCTGGAAGTTCATTGTGGCTGATGCTAATTACTTTTCTTTTTCAGCCATGAAGAGTCTTTGCAGTCTGAACATGAACAGCACCAAGCTCACATCTGACACATATGAGGACCTCAAGGTAGTACTGTAACACAATGTTTATATTTTCATATAAACTTACATGTAATAGTTTACATGCAGCTGTAATGACAAAAGGGACTTAATATTTACACTCTTTATTTAACAATAAATTGTTATCAGTCTTGGGGTAACAGGGATAATATGCATGTGTTCTGAAATTTGAGCTAACTTTAAACTGATATAGTGGAAACGGAGTAAGTGTATGTTTCAAGGTTTTGATGCAGTTTCCTTTCATCTATGTCTTTCTCTGCAGGCCAAACTGCCTAACCTGAAAGACGTTGATGTTCGGTACACAGAGGCCTGGTGATCAACCAGGCTCACTCAACCCTTACACACAACCAGGCAGACACATCAACATATGCACACACTGCACACAGGCTCCAATTCATGACAAGATTGTGTAGTTATGTCATCTCCATCGTTGCCCATCATTAGACCAGGACATGTGACATCATCCCTGCGTAAATATCATCTGATGTGACCAGAGGAAGAGCCTTCACAAGCTACATCACAACCCCTGTAATGACATCATCACTGGGTATCAACTGTCAGCAACACTTTTTTTCTAAACAAGAAATCTTTATTGACTTGCAGCTTCCCTTATCTTTTCACCAATATTCCAAGGACCTGATGATTAGAGGAAAAGCTAACCGCTGTTACATTGTGACATGCAGGACACTTTTTCTCTGGCTGAGCTTTTGCCCAGTCTTTCAGATGTCTCTCAGTTCCCATATCCAGTCCAGGTGCAGCTCTCCAGCCGATGCCCTCCCACCGCTGTTGGTGTGTCGTGAGGAAGATCTGAGCCTTCCCATCTGTTTCTCTCTCCTGCGCTTGTACCATGAAAGCTGGATACCGCAGCTTACATTCCAGTTCTTCTCCAAACTGATCTGCGAAGTAGCTCTCAAAGCAGACGTGTTGAACTGAACCTCAGTCCTCGCTCTCACACTCTTTGGCTTTAGTTTTCAGGTTGTGATTCTAATATGTTCAAAGGTTTTATTGGGAAATAGAGGTGCTGCCTCTTAGAAACAAAGAGTTGCAAGACTGTGCCTGTTTGTCTTTCATGACAGGTTCTCGCACAAAAAAAAAGAAAGAAGGTTTTTATCAACTTGAATGGACATATTTTTCCAGACATCTGTGCTTTCATATATTGTGTGTTTCTTTATAAAACATATATATTATGATAACACCCAGTGATGATATTTTAGAAACAGTTTGGAAACTCTGCAGGAAAGTTCAACGGCAACATTTGTTCCTTTTTCGTTTGTTTTCACTGTACATACTGATGATCTCCAATTACTATTTAATAACCGTTGTGTAGCAGTAGTTGGGTTGTCTGGGACTGCCTAATATTTATATGTTTTTTTTAAAGCCTTCTTAAATCTGTCTCTTCTGGATTGTGTCCTTACCATAATGAAGTACACAGGCCCTGTTGTCTTTCTTTGCAAGATACAACACAAGCCCCCCAAGAGGGCCCCATACACAGATCTCTCTGTACAATGTCATGATGGTAACATAGATCTGTGAAGTGGACTCAAACTGGACCTGAACCATCACCATCTGAGAGTTGTGTTTTTTCTTATTCTTTGCTATTTTCGGAGATATAAAAAGAAGAAATGCAACTTGCCAAACTTTGTCATTGAATTCAGTTTATGTTTGTGCACTTGTGTCTTTGGGCAAACATAAGTGTGTTTTCAATACTGACAAAGTTTCAAATGGAAGCTGCCTGTGGATAGACACTGACACTGTTTGGATTCACGTCTCTGACCTCTAGCTGAGGTCAGGGGGAGCAGTCTCAGTGCCTATAATGGAGCTGTGGATGAGTGGCCTACTGGTATCTTACTATATGTCACACCACCTGTTTTAAATTGTTCTGCTGTTCTTATATTACACCATCATAAATGGGTTACATTTTTAGGCTGTTGGGGTGAATAATTGTCATCAGTGGATGGGACAAAATCATTGTACATATTCTTTCACGGGCTATAGGGGACAAAGGATAGGAAAAAGGCACCTTTTTGGCCATTTCTGCTTTTCTGCATTCCCTCAAAATGTTGCCTGCTGGTATTGTGGCAGCATTACATATGATGTGGTAACTGCCCAGTTTATCAGAAGCTCCTTTTCCTCTGTCTAGATGTGGTTTGGGTTGCATTGGCCCTAGAAAAAGCAAGACATGTCAGACTTCCTCTCTTTTTCCTGTCAGCCTTGCTCTGACTACACCCATCCATTTTATTTATTTGTGTCAACCTCCGGAATGCTTAGGGTTTGTTAAACCAACACCACGGCTGCAGCAGAGGAAAGGATGCCGTCCGCTATGAGATGCTTTCTTATTTATTAGGTGCCATGATAGGTTTGGCTTGTAGATTCGGTTTATGTACGGCCATCTTTGGTTCCGGTTTTAGGACCTCCTGCTTTTTCATATCCTGTATGATATACAAGTGTATATAGTCGTCTCTTCCCTTCTTCTCTTTAATTTTTTGTTCAACCCCCTCCACCTTTTATTGGCAGGCTGGTGTTGCCTTTATCTTATTTGTGTGGTGTTTTTTTCACACAAAGTGCACTGTAATCTAACAAATTATGTTTTCATAATATCTTTAGAGTTTCCAAAATCTTTTATTTTATCACTTAAATCAAATTCTTGTGTTCTTGTTTTTTGTTTGTTTTTGCATGTACATGTTGCTGTGTGATCTATTTTTATTTTTTATTTTTGTTTTATAAAAGGATTGAAATATGATAAAGGGACAAATCACTATCTCACTGAGGTTAAGGACTGAATTAGAGATATCCAATCCAATGATATCTGATCATAGTGGCCAAGATCTAGCTATGAGTCCTGACAGGTCCTGAAGGTCGAGGCAGTTCGGGTTTGATTGTTGTTGATTTTTAAACAGCCATTACCAATGCTGGTACTGTTGGACTGACACTGCCTCTAGCTGGGATTCAATCATTCAAGTTTTCCCATTTTAATATTGAATCAAACTTGCAAATAATTATTGTTTCCTCAAGAATGTGTACCAATACTGCCAGATAATCATATCAGAGGTGGACCACACTGACTGACCGTTATCATTTTAAAATAAAGTTGTTGCTTTTCACACATCAGATAATCCCGTGTAACTTTAGTGTCATTTTGTTTTATCCTGTTTTTCTAAGTCTAAACATTTTAAAGAAATATTTTGATATTTTGTAAAATAGAAGAACTTTTTAAAGGTTGTTAGATGAGAAGATTGAAAGCAATAAGAGATAAGAATGCCATCAACCTTCTCACCTAACTCGGCCTGAAAGCCAACTGTTCCTTTAAATAAGTGCACACTGAACTCATCCCCCACTTGTCCAGACTATGACTGTTTGAGGTTATAATGGAAGTAGGGATACACCAATGCATCGGCCATACATTGGCATCGGCATATGTTCACCCTGATTGGTAAATGCAAATCCAACGTTCAGAGTCTTGGCAACTACTGATCACTTCCCTGGGAGAAATGTTTTCCAACTTCAAAACGTGGCAATTTAAAGCTATTAAATGTCTAATTATCACTAAAAGGTCATGTATGAATATATTATAATGGATGATAAGAAAGTCAAACTGACAGTTACTTAAAATATTCTCATTGAATAGGTAATTGTTTAGCAGTAAAAAGGCTTCTGTAAAAGTGACTATGAGTAATCTGTGCACATTCAAAGTAAGTGTGGAGAAGGGCTAAAAGACAGTTCATATGTTCTTTATAAGGATGTATTTGTTTCCCTGACACAAAAGAGAATACAAAAAAGGAATAATAAAGAGAAAACATTGTGGCATCTAAGGAGTGCATCCCTAAATGAAAGCTGTGTTACTGTGGAACATGTGATGATACTGTCGTGTCGCTGTATTCTGTGGAGCTCACTGTGCTTTCCACATTATCTCTCTGATGTTTATTATTCTACTCTAGCTCTTAAGAGTTTCTACCATGTCCAACATGTGTACAGCTGCGTTCAAGTCTTAGCAGTTGTTATAAAAGGAACAGGGTCAGATGCTGCACAACCTGACAAATCTGACGGACTGAAAGGACTACTCTTTTTTCCCATAATTCCTTGTAAAAAAAATATGTTTGTGGAGCTTGAAATGGTTGCACCCATTATGTTTCTCTCTTCTTTTTTTCCACCATTGATCTGCTTCTCCTGCTAGGTTATTATTATTATTATTGCCGCTGCTGCTGCTCTCTGGCTGTTGTAATGAGAATGCAAAAATATCTTCAACAGCAAAAACCATGATGTGGAATAATTTCAATCCAAATTAAATTGTCTGTGAATATGTTTCAGTTGTGTGTGTGGAATGTCTTTTTTATCTGTATACGACATAGGATAGTAAATGTCCACCACTCTTTTATTGACACCAGTAATCACTACTGTAGTAAGAGTTTGGTTTGCTATTCACTTTTAGTCCAAGAAGGGAAAAAAAGGGAAATTCTCTCGAAAAACATCAATCAGTGTTCAAAATGTATCAAATCTTGGAATGTGATTATAGATGGTTGCTTATGCAATTTCTAACTATTTTAAAAGTAAAATGATATCAATATGTCAGTAATGATAATCCAAAAGGTCTTATAGCATTTTAAAGATTCTGTGTATGTGTGTATTTAACTCTTAAAGCTCACCTATTATGCTTTATTTGAACAATATAGTATAGGGCCATATCTATACAAAACATGTCTCTGAAGTGTTTTGCTCAAAATACCAAACAGATCACCCATTGTAGCATGCCTCATACCCCTCTATTTCAGCCCTGTTACTAAAGTGCTGATTCTGGGTCCGGCCCTTTAAATGTAACCGAGCTGCTGCTGGCCACGCCCCTTTGGAGTGTTCGCATATGGTTCGCATGCAAGCAGTGAGCTCTGTGAAGAGAAGGCTGTCTACTATGAGGCGTGATTTGTGCCAAAGAACGTACAACTATGAGGTGTGATTTGTGCCAAAAACTGAACTAACTGAGCAGCCAATCGTGTCGATCGTCGCCAGGTCGCCTACCATGCCGTGAACTATGCCGCGAGAGAAGTAACGTGACACTCTCGTCTGAGAAGCTACGTGACGTCTGTGTCTGAAGTTACTTTATCACCAAATAACCCAGTAATGTTACAGCTAGTTGCTGTTCAAGCTACACTCTATTACAATATAGTTTTGGTAAAAAAATAATGTTACACCTCTTGTATGCCCTGAACGCAAAAACTACCACAGACAAGAATATATATTTTTAATTATCAAAATGATAACAAAGGCTGAAAAAACAGGAGAAGCCTGTCTTCCCTTGGTCTCCAGGAGAAAACGCCACTGTATATCACCACGTTTTCATATAGTTTTGTATGTGAAATAAATCGCTGCAATGAACACAACTTTATGTATTTGTTTATTTGATATGGAGGGATGCAGTATATAGAAGTTCAGAGAAGAAGCAACCCCTATATAGTGTTTATTTTATTTCATTTCATTTTGGCACCATGGCAGAGGCAAATATAGAGTTAATGTGCGGAGATTATAATGTCCCGTTTACTAAAATATGTATTGTTTTATGATGTTTAGTTGACAAAATAGTCACTGTGCTACATTTTGCTGCACTCAAGCATACATCTGAAGACAAGAGTTGTGTCCCCCTTTGGCCACAAGGGGGAGTAT